TTAGAGTTACTGAAGTAAAGAAATCCATGTTTTGAAATTTTCAATCAGTTCCTATTCACTTTTGTTACTCAGAACAGAAGACCTACTTTACTTTCCCGAGTGTCAATTATTTAGCCTGGGACTAAAATTATACATAATCATAATTAACGGTCTGGGTAACAAATTTCTTAATTTATGTTTGTTTTCTCATTTTAGAAGAAAGATAAAGTAACCCGTAACAAATTCCATGGTAATATTTAACGTTCTGGGTTACAATTTCTGAGAATTTCTCAGGCATATTAATTAGCTGTTTCTTCCTTTCTAACTCTATATCAGGGATCAAATATTTTAGAACCAATACTATGGTCGTAATTAACGTTCTGGGTTGCGATTATTATAAGATAATTCACATATATTTGCTACTTTGTTTGTTTTCAAGTTTTTGACGAAGCCTAGTTAGTCCTGAACCAAAAATAATGGTCGTAATTAATGTTCCGGGTTGCAATTTCTGAAAAAAAATTCATATAATTTTGCTACTTAGCTGTTTTTTCCCAGTTTTTGATGAAGCTGCCCAGAACCAAAAATTATGGTCATAATTAACGTTCCGAGTTGTAATTACTGAAAGATATGTTTCTTTTCCACTTTTTGACGAAGTCACGTAAGCCCGGAACCAAAAATTATGGTCATGATAAACGTTCCGGGTTGCAATTACTGATAGATATTTTATATAATTTTGCTACTTAGTTGTTTGTTTTCAAGTTTTTGACGAAGCCAAGTTAGCCCGGAACCAAAAATTATGGTCATGATAAACGTTCCAGGTTGCAATTACTGAAATATATTTTATATAATTTTGCTACTTAGTTGTTTCTTTTCCACTTTTTGACGAAGTCAAGTTAGCCCGGAACCAAAACTTATGGTCATGATAAACGTTCCGGGTTGCAGTTACTGATAGATATTTCATATATTTTTGCTACTTAGTTGTTTCTTTTCCACTTTTTGACGAAGTCAAGTTAGCCCGGAACCAAAAATTATGATCATGATAAACGTTCCGGGTTGCAATTTCTGAAACATATTTCACATATTTTTGCTACTTTAGTTGTTTGTTTTCAAGTTTTTGACGAAACTAACTAGACCCGGAACCAAAAATTATGGTCATAATAAACGTTCCGGGTTGCAATTACTGATAGATATTTCATATATTTTTGCTACTTAGTTGTTTCTTTTGAAGTTTTTGACGAAGCTAAGTTAGCCCGGAACCAAAAATTATGGTCATGATAAACGTTCCGGGTTGCAACTACTGAAACATATTTCACATATTTTTGCTACTTTAGTTGTTTGTTTTCAAGTTTTTGACGAAGCTAAGTTAGCCCGGAACCAAAAATTATGGTCATGATTAACGTTCCGGGTTGCAATTACTGATAGATATTTTATATAATTTTGCTACTTAGTTGTTTCTTTTCAAGTTTTTGAAGAAGCTAAGTTAGCCCGGAACCAAAAATTATAGTCATAATTATCGTTCCGAGTTGCAATTGCTGAAAGATATTTCATTTTTATTTCCATTCTTAGTTGTTTGTTTTCCATTTTGTTACAAAGCTAAGTTAGCCCGGAACCAAAAATCATGGTCATAATAAATATTCCGGGTTGCAATTACTGATAGATATTTTATATAATTTTGTTGCTTAGTTGTTTCTTTTCAAGTTTTTGACGAAGCTAAGTAAGCCCGGAACCAAAAATTATGGTCATAATAAACGTTCCGGGTTGCAATTACTGATTGATATTTCATATATTTTTTCTACTTTAGTTGTTTCTTTTCCACTTTTTGACGAAGTCAAGTGAGCCCGGAACCAAAAATTATGGTCATTATAAACGTTCCGGGTTGCAATTACTGATAGATATTTTATATAATTTTGCTACTTAGTTGTTTCTTTTCCACTTTTTGACGAAGTCAAGTTAGCCCGGAACCGAAAATTATGGTCATGATAAACGTTCCGGGTTGCAATTACTGATTGATATTTCACATATTTTTGCTACTTAGTTGTTTCTTTTCAAGTTTTTGACGAAGCTAAGTTAGCCCGGAACCAAAAATTATGGTCATAATAAACGTTTCGGGTTGCAATTACTGATAGATATTTCATATATTTTTGCTGCTTAGTTGTTTCTTTTCAAGTTTTTGACGAAGCCAAGTTAGCCCGGAACCAAAAATTATGGTCATGATAAACGTTCCGGGTTGCAATTACTGATAGATATTTTATATAATGGATGTATTCGCTTTGACAAGAGATTTAACCTATAGGAGAGAACAATTTCCCGGAAAAGTGACATTTAAATATTAATCTTTATTTGTTGTTTTCTATCGTATATATGTCTAAATTTTCCAAATTTGTATTTTATACCTAAAATTTATTCTTTACAACTTTACAATAAACCTCCAAAGTTGGCTGAAACACCATTTTGTCCGCTAAAGCATTGATTTTTGCATGAATTTTGGCCGAGAAGTCCTTCAGGGCAGGCCTGCCCCTAAATAAAATTGTGATATTTTGATAGGTTATGATGGAAGGAATGATTTAAGATAGGATTTTTTTAGGGGCACCCCTGCCCTAGGGTCGAAATTCACAAAAAACCTACAAAAAATAAGGAAACCTGATTTCGAAAATCTGCTTCAAATTTATACCATATATTTCTATAAACGGACTAGCTCAGTTGATATATGAGTTGGTTTTGCACCGTACCGTGAAATCCTTCTTTTTAAAGTGGCGGGTTCGAATCCACCTGGCACCACACTTTTAAAGTTTTAAATTTCGCCTTTTCAAAGACTATTTTAATTTCTTTTTAATAGACTTGTGTATTTTCCTTCAATTATCTATCCCTTATGTATGCCCATTCTTGATACAAGAAAAACTAAAGAGATGTCAGATCGTAACAATCAAATGTACAGTTGTCAGTCAGGCGGAACAAACCTCAGTATAAGCACACTTTCTCCGAGGACAAGAATAACTCTCTTTGTGTTATTTGATACAAGTATTCTTGGCAGCATTGAGCTGCGACGAATTTCAATTGTATATATTCCTTAGAATTTAATCACAATGATTTTGGCTACATATATCAGTAACTGTACTCCCTTGGCTTTCATTTAGGCCTATATAATTTGCACACTTTAATGACATGTTTTATTTTATCCACGGATAAATAGCCTAGACACAAAGAATAGAATTTCAGAGACAGTAGACATTACCATTATGCACAATGAGAAGTAAAGACAAATATCAATTATACATTTGGAGATAACAAACTCAGAAAATCAATAAAAGGGTTTCTTCTCTACTCACTGAAATAAAGATTTAGGAAAAAAAACAAATTGTTAAATATATTCGGCCTAATGTCATTAATCGGAACGGAAATCGACAAGCTTTTTGTAGAGAAAAAAACCAAGCCCGGTTGTTACAACGCACTTTGAAAAATTACGCACTTTGAAAAAAAAATTTCAAAGTGCGTTAAAATTTGGGACCAAGCTAACGCACTTTGAAAAAATTATTTTTTTTTCAAAGTGCGTTAATATCGACCACATTAACGCACTTTGAAAAAAATGTAAAGATTGATCAATATTCCTTCAAATAATCGGTATGATAAAAAAACAGATTCTGGTTTGATAATTTTTTCATGATAAAGTCACAGTAGGACCTGAGGTATTGACGTTTTTTAAAAATATTTAAGGTTTTGATAAAATAAAAGGGAAAATTAAAGGGTCTTGAAAAAAAGAGTGACGATTGTTTAAGTTCATTAATTCGTTTCGTCCTTTTTTTTTATTCTAGTCTTTGATAAGTAGATGTAAATGTGTATAGGGGGCACTAACAGAGGACAGCTTCAAGCAACTTAGCATTTATCATGATAAAAAGGGGCCAATTTGATTGTTCAAAACTATGAAAATTCTTTCACTCTCATACATTTTACTGTACTTAAAAATTTCTTGTTTTCATCTGTTTTAATTAGCTCATTTATTATTGAAAGTTTTCAACGTCATACCAGTGAGGTAAATACATAATTATATGAATGCTTTGAGTATAGCATAGACATCAAGACTGGGCGAAGGGCCAGGGGAGGGGATGGGGGGCTAAGCCCCCCATTTATTTTGGAAAGATATATACATCGTATAAGCATTGAAAATGCAGCATACCCTTTTTAGGTTCATTGCTCCCCTCTCCCGTTTGTTACCGACACCTATGTATTGGAAAGATAGAGATTTGGACTGAGGGATCTTATACCCGTCTTCTCCTCTTTTCGACAGGAGTAAATCAATTCATTTTTGAGGTTAGGGTTAGGCTTAGTTTTTTGAAAGATAAATAAGTAAAATAACAAATAAAATCTTTCCATGACTAAAATATGATTTTTTTTTTCAAAGCGCGTTAAGTGTCTCCATGGTAAAATATATTGATGTAGAATCTTAACGCACTTTGAAAATTTTTTTCAAAGTGCGTTGATATTGTTCCACTTTTAACGCACTTTGAAATTTTTTTTCAAAGTGCGTAATTTTTTCAAAGTGCGTTGCCACACCCGGTCCTATAGGTCAGATACCTATTTATGATGAAGTGATCCTTTGCTACTTAGTTGTTTGTTTTCAAGTTTTTGACGAAGCCAAGTTAGCCCGGAACCAAAAATTATGGTCATGATAAACGTTCCGGGTTGCAATTACTGAAAGATATTTTATATAATTTTGCTACTTAGTTGTTTCTTTTCCACTTTTTGACGAAGTCAAGTTAGCCCGGAACCAAAAATTATGGTCATGATAAACGTTTCGGGTTGCAATTACTCATAGATATTTCACATATTTTTGCTACTTAGTTGTTTCTTTTCAAGTTTTTGATGAAGGTAAGTTAGCCCGGAACCAAAAATTATGGTCTTAATAAACGTTCCGGGTTGCAATTACTGATAGATATTTCATATATTTTTGCTACTGGGTTGATTCTTTTGAAGTTTTTGACGAAGTCAAGTTAGCCCGGAACCAAAATTATTCAATATTTCCCCAGTAATACCCTGACCTTATTCAGAGGTTTCTTATGTGAAACCCGAAGTAGATCTACCCTGTGTTTTATAATTTATATTTATTGTTACGTTTCTTTGGATTGCATGAAGGCATCTTTTCTAAAGATTTAGGTGGCCGTGAAAACGGCCGTTTGTGTTTGTCTGAGACAAGGATAGGCTTAGGCTCTCTCGCCACGGATACGTCTGGCAAGCTGGATATCCTTTGGCATGATGGTCACTCTCTTGGCATGGATAGCACACAAGTTGGTATCCTCAAAAAGTCCGACAAGGTAGGCCTCGCTGGCTTCCTGGAGGGCCATGACGGCTGAGCTCTGGAAACGCAGATCGGTCTTGAAATCTTGAGCGATTTCACGGACAAGGCGCTGGAATGGGAGTTTCCTGATGAGCAATTCGGTGCTTTTCTGGTATCTCCTGATCTCACGGAGAGCAACAGTTCCTGGCCTGTATCTGTGAGGTTTCTTAACGCCACCGGTGGCTGGTGCGCTCTTACGGGCTGCCTTGGTAGCCAGCTGTTTTCGTGGGGCTTTGCCTCCTGTAGATTTTCTTGCAGTCTGCTTGGTACGTGCCATCTTCCCTGAATTCAGATAAAATGAATGACGAAGGACGAGTGTAGAATAGTTTTAGGGGAGATCCGTTCAATTCTGGACACGGGGTAATTCCGGACAAATAATACAGTCTTTCTCTTTTGTCTTATTTTTCGGTAATTCTGTATTGTTAATTATAAATAAATGAAGTACATTCGGAAAGCGGGTGTCATTGTTGTCTTTTTTAAAAACATTATAATGATTCTAGGTTATTCTGAATGCTATAATAACGTCAAAAGTTAGACTTTGGACTTTTATGTCAATGAAATCCATTAGGCGGCAAAATTTGATCAAATTAAGGGCAATCTGACATAGAATTAAAACAACAGCTAAGATAAATATTGATTTCCATTTATTATTATAAATTTCTTATGTAGAGAGCATATTTTTAAAAAGAAAAAATATGATGAATAATACAAAATAATGTTAATTTTTTCATTAAATTTATCAAACAATGTGTTCTGATTTCCCCCGCTAATTTTTTTCTAGGTGGGGGAATTCCGGACGCTGGTTTTATGGGTAGACAGACATTTCGGCCCATCGACACCTCGGCCTGTGACGGTTGACACCTATAGGCCTGGACGGGTCGACCCAAAATTATTGACACATCGGCCCATATTAAAGACCCAAGAAAAAGTTAGTCCAGTGTCTGAATTATTGTTTTTATTTAATTAATTACTCTTTCTGACGATTAAACAATTTTCTTCATAAAAATAAATTTGGGAAGGGGGAGGGCTCTATAATATCATTTCTATGCAAGTCCCTAACCGGCATCTCTCTCTCTCTCTCGTGAAAATGTGCAATATACATGCTAAGTAATGTAAAACAAGCATGCTTTGTCTAACAAAGTGGCATGTTGTTGGAATGTATTTTCTCACAATTTTTTTTTTCAAAGCACATATTGCTCTCCTGTCCGGATTTACCCCGCCTCTGTCCGGAATTACCCCATGTTGTCCGGACTTGCACTATTTCACCACCTGAATTCATTTTATTATCAGTAAAAGATATTTAATTGTGTTTCATGATGATATTCATTGCATTTTGTTGCCAAAAAGTGTTTCCATACTTTACCACTTGAAATCAGAGTGTGTTGAGTGTTTATTTTCGTTTGCTGGGTGTTACATATTAAAACATGACAAAAGTGTCCAGAATTGGACGGATCTCCCCTATACGGTTCCGTGGCTCGTGAATATTTTTTGATCAAGCTTCAAGATCAGCGCGCACGAAGTAAGGGTGTTTGTGATTGGTTCGGGATCTAGAAAGACACCTTGTGATTAGCCGCTTGTAGCGCGCTTCGATTGGTCTTAGCTGAAATCATTTCAATCCACCTTTTTGCACAGAATTTGTACTTTGTTAAAATCAATGTTTTGCTGTTTTAAAAAAGAATTTTAACAGACCCACTGGCTGAAAAAAAAGAAAAGTACAGTCACAGTAATTAGGACAATAACCGTGATGACAGACATTCAGCACTCACTTAAAATATTAATTCTATTATTATTTTTAATTGTTATTAATTATGATATCACATATAAACTTTCCTTATTTATTTCTTAAACCTTGATTTTCATTTAAGGTGTTCATGTGCTTTATAGCCATGGGAATACATAAATATTGAATAAATGAAATAAACAAGAGTTTGATGGCTCTTTACTGGTTAGCTTTCTTGGAATCTTGATATTTTGTTTTCACTTCTGCTTTGTGTATTCTTTGTATCAGTTATCCTCTTTAGCTTAAGATACTTTAATAAAAGCATTTATTTAAAAGTATTGTCAAACTTAAGGTCCAAGACCTTAAACCTTGATTATATTTAGAAATAATATTTTGAAGTGTGTCATCTGTACCATGTAAATAAACATGCAAATAAATGAGGGTGTTTCCATTTCAGGCATCTTTCAACCATGTAAAAGCTACAGGCCATTTGCATGAAAATTTGCAGTTGTAGAAATTAATGCAACAAAGTATGCACCCATTCATGCCCAGTGTGAGACATGAAAGTTATGGCCATAACACCTATACTCTGACTTGTGTATTGCATGATAGTTGAATTCTGAATTTCACAACCAGTGCATGAGTGTGGGGGGTTCTGTACATACACATATATAATGATTATATATTTATTTCTTTCACCTGAAAATAAAATGTTCATAAACTTTACTTACTGCTATATGTAAGTGTTTCAGGATATTAGAAGGAGAAAACATGCATGCCTTTATAATATGCCTGCAGGCTATTTTCAAACATTATTAATATATATGCATTCATCTCATAATACCAGTTCACCCTAGGTTTACAGTGCTATGGAGTTTCAATATGTAGAATGAGGGCATGTGTAAGATGATTTAGAAATTTTAACACTATATATCCTCTATTAGTTAGGTATAAGAGAATATCACACACACACGTTTCATTTACGACTGATATTGAGGCATCTTTTCTAAAAATGTGGGTAGCCCTGAAAAGGGCTTTTAATTTTTTTTTTTCTTTTTGGTTCAAGCAGACTGCTTATTTCTTGGCGGCTGCTTTCTTGGGAGTCTTGGTTTTCTTGGCTGCTGCCTTCTTGGGGGTCTTGGCCTTCTTGGGCTTGGCTGCTGCCTTCTTTGGTGACTTGGTGGCTGCCTTTTTCTTGGGGGACTTGGCTTTCTTGGGTCCGGCTGGTTTCTTGGCAGCTGCTGCCTTCTTCTTGGGTGTCTTGGCCTTCTTCTCTCCGGCTGGCTTCTTGGGCTTGGCGGCGGCCTTCTTGGGCTTGGCTGCCTTGGGTTTGGCAACTTTCTTGGCTTTAGGCTTCTTTTCGGTCTTGGGTTTGTCTCCAAGTTTGAAAGAGCCACTAGCGCCTGTGCCCTTTGCCTGCTTCAGAGCACCCTTTTTGACACCGTTCTTCAGGGCCATCTTCAGGTGGGCGTTGATAGAGTTAACATCGTTGCCTACTTTGTAGTTGGCCATGATGTACTTGAGAATGGCCTGTCGGGATGAGCCACCTCGTTCTTTCAGAGATGCAACGGCAGCGCTGATCATGTCAATGTACTTGGGGTGGGCAGCAGGCACCTTAGGCTTTGCGGCCTTCTTCTTGGCTGGGGACTTTGCTGGTGCGGCAGTATCGGCCATGGCTACTTGCGAGTGTAAAAACGTCGACTAACTTCTCAGGAACTGTGAACAGTGAAATAGTCAGGTCACACGCCTAGAAAACATCCAGTGTGTCGAGACGTCTGTATTTTTGTTCCTGCATGTGTGTTTCAATGTGGGTATTTGCACCCTTGCTGCAGCTTAAAGAAGGAACATCATCCCGATATACCAGAAGAATCTCCTACTCTATTAGTCTGTCTATCATTCTATCTATTTGCATTTTTAGATTGTTCTTATTGCAGTGTTCAAATTCAACAAAATAGGCCCCCAGACTGTCATGATTGAATTTCGTAAGATAAATTGTTCACTCGAAAGGACAGAATTCAGTAAAGATATCTAAATTTTTCTTAAAATACACATTTAAGAATGATGATTTGATTTTCCCGGCCTGTAATTATAATCAGTCCCCCCTCAAACTACGAGAAACACCCAACTAAGGACTATGTACTGTACTACACAGTGTTATGCCTGTACTAAACTGGCGCTGTGTGACTATGACAATGACTTTGTTCTCTAAAACGTACAATCTAATATAAATACATGATTGAATATTGTAGAAACGGGACAGGTAAAAATATGCAAACGCCATAAGAAAGGAGAGAGGGAGAGAGAGAGAGAGAGAGAGAGAGAGAGAGAGAGAGAGAGATGAAATAACATTATAATGCATGAAGGCAAATAAGTATAAATAAGCATTAAAGCAGTATTTCTAAAAATAATAATAATAATAAATGAATAAAAAAGAAAAAACAAAACAAAACAAAACAAAACAAAAAAAAAACAAAAACAAACAAAATATGTGTATACTTCTTAAGATTTCTTTGACAATGGACCGTGTAACACTTAACAATTCAAATCTCTAAAATTATTTAGAGTTTCAGAATGTTAATATAATAGTTCAAATTTCTTAATTTCAAAAACTCAGACTGATTTCGTATATTATAATTTTTAGTTCAAAAACCTAAACTTTCAAATTTCAAAACAGGTTTTAACATTTTGAGTTTTTGTATTTTTATCTTAAATATTCACACAACAAATATACTACAGTTCAGTGCCGTACATAAAAAGAGGAAAACTTGTTGGCCAAAATATTTAAAATTGCAAATGAAGTGTTTATAAGTATTATGAGGGTGTTGATTTTTCAAACGAAAACCAGAAATATATTTTGCTATCTTGTATTGGTCCCTGTAACACTTAACAATTCAAATTTCTAAAATGACTTAGAGTTTTTAAGAATGTTAATACTTTTGTTCTAAATTTCAAAAACTCAAAATGTTTTAGTATATTGAAATTTCATATTTTAGTTCAAAAATCTAAATTTTTCAATTTCCAAACAGGTTTTAGAATTTTAATGTTTTAGATTTTTACCTTAAATGTTCAAAATTCAAATTTCCAAAAACAAATTTTGTAATTCAAAATTGTCTTTTGGTTATTTGAAATTAGCTTCAAACTTCTAAAATCCAACTTTGAAACGCTTTAGATTTTGAGAAATTTAGAATGTTGATTCAAATGTTCTGATTTCAAATAACCTAAACACTTTAAGTTTTTAGAATTTTACTTTAGATATCCAAAGTTTAAACCAGGTACAATGTATATGGAATTTGATATTTTGGAGATTTAAAGTAAACTTCTAAAAACTCAAAATGTACAAAAGTGTTTTGATTATTTATAAAAAGTTCCATCTCCATTTCTAAACAAACGGTAGATTAAAAACTCAAAAGTTTAAAATACAAAATTTGCTTTTGGAAATCTGAATTTTGAATATTTAAGATAAAAATACAAAAACTCAAAATGTTAAAACCTGTTTTGAAATTTGAAAGTTTAGGTTTTTGAACTAAAAATTATAATATACGAAATCAGTCTGAGTTTTTGAAATTAAGAAATTTGAACTATTATATTAACATTCTGAAACTCTAAATAATTTTAGAGATTTGAATTGTTAAGTGTTACACGGTCCATTGTCAAAGAAATCTTAAGAAGTATACACATAGTTTGTTTGTTTTTGTTTTTTTTTTTGTTTGTTTTTTTTTTTTGTTTTGTTTTGTTTTTTTTTTTTTTTTGTTTTTTATTCATTTATTATTATTATTATTTTTAGAAATACTGCTTTAATGCTTATTTATACTTATTTGCCTTCATGCATTACAATGTTATTTCATCTCTCTCTCTCTCTCTCTCTCTCTCTCTCTCTCTCTCTCTCCTTTCTTATGGCGTTTGCATATTTTTACCTGTCCCGTTTCTACAATATTCAATCATGTATTTATATTAGATTGTACATTTTAGAGAACAAAGTCATTGTCATAGTCACACAGCGCCAGTTTAGTACAGGCATAACACTGTGTAGTACAGTACATAGTCCTTGGGTGTTTCTCGTAGTTTGAGGGGGAACTGATTATAATTACAGGCCGGGAAAATCAAATCATCATTCTTAAATGTGTATTTTAAGAAAAATTTAGATATCTTTACTGAATTCTGTCCTTTCGAGTGAACAATTTATCTTACGAAATTCAATCATGACAGTCTGGGGGCCTATTTTGTTGAATTTGAACACTGCAATAAGAACAATCTAAAAATGCAAATAGATAGAATGATAGACAGACTAATAGAGCAGGAGATTCTTCTGGTATATCGGGATGATGTTCCTTCTTTAAGCTGCAGCAAGGGTGCAAATACCCACATTGAAACACACATGCAGGAACAAAAATACAGACGTCTCGACACACTGGATGTTTTCTAGGCGGTCCGCGCTCGGTGTAAACAAAAACAGCAAGTGCGTGTGACCTGACTATTTCACTGTTCACAGTTCCTGAGAAGTTAGTCGACGTTTTTACACTCGCAAGTAGCCATGGCCGATACTGCCGCACCAGCAAAGTCCCCAGCCAAGAAGAAGGCCGCAAAGCCTAAGGTGCCTGCTGCCCACCCCAAGTACATTGACATGATCAGCGCTGCCGTTGCATCTCTGAAAGAACGAGGTGGCTCATCCCGACAGGCCATTCTCAAGTACATCATGGCCAACTACAAAGTAGGCAACGATGTTAACTCTATCAACGCCCACCTGAAGATGGCCCTGAAGAACGGTGTCAAAAAGGGTGCACTGAAGCAAGCAAAGGGCACAGGCGCTAGTGGCTCTTTCAAACTTGGAGACAAACCCAAGACCGAAAAGAAGCCTAAAGCCAAAAAAGTTGCCAAACCCAAGGCAGCCAAGCCCAAGAAGGCCGCCGCCAAGCCCAAGAAGCCAGCCGGAGAGAAGAAGGCCAAGACACCCAAGAAGAAGGCAGCAGCTGCCAAGAAACCAGCCGGACCCAAGAAAGCCAAGTCCCCCAAGAAAAAGGCAGCCCCCAAGTCACCAAAGAAGGCAGCAGCCAAGCCCAAGAAGGCCAAGACCCCCAAGAAGGCAGCAGCCAAGAAAACCAAGACTCCCAAGAAAGCAGCCGCCAAGAAATAAGCAGTCTGCTTGAACCAAAAAGAAAAAAAAAATTAAAAGCCCTTTTCAGGGCTACCCACATTTTTAGAAAAGATGCCTCAATATCAGTCGTAAATGAAACGTGTGTGTGTGATATTCTCCTATACCTAACTAATAGAGGATATATAGTGTTAAAATTTCTAAATCATCTTACACATGCCCTCATTCTACATATTGAAACTCCATAGCACTGTAAACCTAGGGTGAACTGGGATTATGAGATGAATGCATATTAATAATGTTTGAAAATAGCCTGCAGGCATATTATATAAAGGCATGCATGTTTTCTCCTTCTAATATCCTGAAACACTTACATATAGCAGTAAGTAAAGTTTATGAACATTTTATTTTCAGGTGAAAGAAATAAATATATAATCATTATATATATGTATGTACAGAACCCCCCACACTCATGCACTGGTTGTGAAATTCAGAATTCAACTATCATGCAATACACAAGTCAGAGTATAGGTGTTATGGCCATTATAACTTTCATGTCTCACACTGGGCATGAATGGGTGCATACTTTGTTGCATTAATTTCTACAACTGCGAATTTTCATGCAAATGGCCTGTAGCTTTTACATGGTTGAAAGATGCCTGAAATGGAAACACCCTCATTTATTTGCATGTTTATTTACATGGTACAGATGACACACTTCAATATTATATTATTTCTACATATAATCAGGGTCTAGGCCTTGGACCTTAAGTTTGACAATACTTTTAAATAAATGCTTTTATTAAAGTATCTTAAGCTAAAGAGGATAACTGATACAAAGAATACACAAAGCAGAAGTGAAAACAAATTATCAAGATTCCAAGAAAGCTAACCAGTAAAGAGCCATCAAACTCTTGTTTATTTCATTTATTCAATATTTATGTATTCCCATGGCTATAAAGCACATGAACACCTTAAATGAAAATCAAGGTTTAAGAAATAAATAAGGAAAGTTTATATGTGATATCATAATTAATAACAATTAAAAATAATAATAGAATTAATATTTTAAGTGAGTGCTGAATGTCTGTCATCACGGTTATTGTCCTAATTACTGTGACTGTACTTTTTTTTTTTTTTCAGCCAGTGGGTCTGTTAAAATTCTTTTTTAAAACAGCAAAACATTGATTTTAACGAAGTACAAATTCTGTGCAAAAAGGTGGATTGAAATGATTTCAGCTAAGACCAATCGAAGCGCGCTACAAGCGGCTAATCACAAGGTGTCTTTCTAGATCCCGAACCAATCACAAACACCCTTACTTCGTGCGCGCTGATCTTGAAGCTTGATCAAAAAATATTCACGAGCCACGGAACCGTATAAAACTATTCTACACTCGTCCTTCGTCATTCATTTTATCTGAATTCAGAGAAGATGGCACGTACCAAGCAGACTGCAAGAAAATCTACAGGAGGCAAAGCCCCACGAAAACAGCTGGCTACCAAGGCAGCCCGTAAGAGCGCACCAGCCACCGGTGGCGTTAAGAAACCTCACAGATACAGGCCAGGAACTGTTGCTCTCCGTGAGATCAGGAGATACCAGAAAAGCACCGAATTGCTCATCAGGAAACTCCCATTCCAGCGCCTTGTCCGTGAAATCGCTCAAGATTTCAAGACCGATCTGCGTTTCCAGAGCTCAGCCGTCATGGCCCTCCAGGAAGCCAGCGAGGCCTACCTTGTCGGACTTTTTGAGGATACCAACTTGTGTGCTATCCATGCCAAGAGAGTGACCATCATGCCAAAGGATATCCAGCTTGCCAGACGTATCCGTGGCGAGAGAGCCTAAGCCTATCCTTGTCTCAGACAAACACAAACGGCCGTTTTCACGGCCACCTAAATCTTTAGAAAAGATGCCTTCATGCAATCCAAAGAAACGTAACAATAAATATAAATTATAAAACACAGGGTAGATCTACTTCGGGTTTCACATAAGAAACCTCTGAATAAGGTCAGGGTATTACTGGGGAAATATAGAATAAAAATTATTGTATTTAGGAAAGTACACAGAAATATACCGGCTAAAATGACGACAGTTTGCAGTCGTATTATTGTTAATGAACAAGCGAGTGTCTCGCACACACACGAAACAAAACAAACAAACAAAAAACACCCTTACACACATTCATTCAGCAGTGTAGAAATAACACAAATGCATCTGATAACATTGATTCATCAAAAGAAGGGAATAATGAAGAAAAACACTCGTATGTCTCTTGTGTATTTCACGTACAAATGACAGATTAATTGTATTTATTAGTCACATTATGCAGAAATATGAATACATCTTGCTTATTCGGATAGAGAGAGAGAGTGTGTGTGTACAAACAATAAAACATTGAATGCTGCTTTTAAAGGAAAATTGAGAAATACTATGACAAAGTTAGTTTATTGATCTCCATTCAACAATTGTGATTTAACCCTTTATACATTGATTATAAAAAACCTATAAAATTTTATTTCATTTTTGTTTGTCTGTTTCTTTCTGGGTTTTTTAATGACACATTCGTTAAATATGTATATAGTGGTGTCAGGTTTAATTCAGATTATTGGTTTTAATGTAATACTCGGATTAAAAAAAATAAATAAATAAAATAAATAAATAAATAAATAAATAAATAAAAAAGAAAGAAAGAAAGAAACCAACCAAACAAAGAAAAAAGTAACAAAATTCCTATCAATAAATATTTAAAAAATCGAAAAATTGAATTATATCTTAATATTGAACGATAAAATATGGAAAGGCTGATTTTTATGATGGCTTAAAAATATGGGACACGGTTTAGTAGCAGCTCAAGGGCATACAAATGTAAACAAAAACATACGTAAGGCGCGCAGAGCGTAAACCAATCGCGCTGTGGCTTTCAGTGTGCTTTCGAGACTTGCCGAGTTTTCAAGACATTGTAGTTTCTAGCGCGTCGTGTAGTGACTGCTATATATACCGTGATCCCGTCGTGTTAGAACATTTCAGAAGATTATCTACTGAGAGCTGAACTATGTCTGGACGTGGTAAAGGAGGAAAAGGTCTTGGAAAGGGGGGCGCTAAGCGTCACAGGAAGGTCCTGAGAGATAACATCCAGGGTATTACCAAACCCGCCATCCGTCGTCTTGCACGCAGAGGTGGAGTCAAACGTATCTCTGGACTCATCTACGAAGAAACCCGTGGTGTCCTGAAAGTTTTCCTTGAGAATGTCATTCGTGATGCTGTCACCTACACAGAGCACGCCAAGAGGAAGACTGTCACAGCCATGGACGTTGTCTATGCCCTGAAGAGACAAGGACGTACCCTCTACGGATTCGGTGGTTAGATACCCCTATGAGCATTTGCTTTTGAAGAAGCAACAACAAACGGCCGTTTTCACGGCCACCCAAATTCTTAGAAAAGATGCCTCTAAACAGACGTGTAAAAAGAAACGTGTGTGTTAATAACTTGACAGTTCTTTGTTAAATTATATAATTGTCAACAAATATATGTTACTGGAATGGGGCATAACATAGCTAGTCCTGCAGTAACTAGTTCACAGGGTAGGGAAAACAAAACTAATTATTTTTTTATGTTCCTATAATCCGAATATAATTGATTTACATTTTATACCATGTCTCCTTTCTGATTTTCAAAGAGGGGGCCGGGTTGAGAGAGAAAACATCCCCCCCTCCCCTAATTGTTAAAATGCATATGATATTCTACAAAGACACATCAAGTACACACAGCAAATTAAACAACGCATAGGGTTAGCTATCGTTACAGCTTTCTAAGACTTGTTGATCAAAGAGACTTTAAAAAAAAAAAATGAATAGATAAATACAACTCTGCACACAACTCTTCTGGTCAATTCTATTCTGACAAGGAAGCAAGAGTTATCCTTCTTGTCATAAACTTCATATTCCTTGAAGTGATTAGATGCTGATTTTTCCTCAACATTTGACCCTTTCATCAATAAATTTATATATAAATTCACAGTTGTCTTTTTTTCTTTTTGGTTCTTCTTCACTTTATTATATTTGCATCCAAAGCCAACACAAGGTACAACAACATTGACATGGTTATTTTTTTTCAAAAGAAACAAAAACATCTATTTCTAAAAACCAGCATGGTTTAATAATGTGATGAATCTTGGTCCTCATCCATGTGGGAAACAAACAAATGCACACACACACATAAAAAGCAAAATGTTAAGCGAGATGACATTTTTATAGGCTAACGTGTGAAACACTAGGATTCATATATTTATTTATTTCATAACATAATATATACATATCCAATATGATCCTGGTACATTTTGCGTTGAAATAATAAATACTAATGTATTCATATAATGAATTGCTAACATGCAATGGGTTTCTTTTCTTGTTCTCAAATTTTCCCCTGAAATACACTTTATATATGAAGACCTTTTTCTCATGCTCTCAGCTTTCATGTCCTGTGAAGATAACCTGTAATGGGTAATGTATTTTGTTTTTTGCATTGTTGAAGGGGTTACTCTTCGCCAGTACACACAATAAGGCATGTATTGAGACAGGTAAGTATAAAACTCGTTTTATTTTACAAAAATCCTATACACTTTACAGCTGATTGATAACTTTTTTTATTTATTTATTTATTTTTTTTAAATGTTTTATTATTTTTTCCTCATATAGTTTCACTGACCTTTAAGCTCACCCAGTGATGTGATTCTGCATATATAAGAGTGTCATATTAAAGTGTATATTACATATTCATACATTGTCATACACAATGTATGTCAAAAACTCCTTTCTCTTTGCTACACGACTCGGACAACTGCAAAATATTTGTATAATTATGATATCATGGTACTCAGAGAACGAAAACAAAAAGAGTCGATGAATGTACGAGAAACTTTCTTAAAATCTGTCTCAGACATATGTAACAATTTCCCTAATCTTGATTTTGATGAGAAGTAATATGGCTTTTTACAAATGAAGATGAGACAATCTTAAGATTACTAAGTCAATTCATATCAAAATATTGTATATGATTTTTGAATATTACTATGTTGTATTTACAATATTTGCATACCACCATGGGTAAATTGTTTTAATGTTTCATTATGTACATTGTCTCTATTTTATGTAATAATATACTTGTATCTGTGTTATGCCCCCAGTGGGACCATGATTGGAAATAAATAAATTCTATTCTATTCTGTATCTCAGAACAGCAGTGAAAACTGCTTTCAGAGTGACAGCCTGTGAACTTGTTACAGTGCTACAGAATATTACTATGCTGCCTAAGTATCATCATTTAATAAATACTTTAATCAAGATCCCCGACTTACTGTGTGTACTGGCCCTAAGACAGATTTGTTTTCGTATGTGATAATCATGTTAATAAATTGTTCTGTGGGGCCCTTGACTTGATATTTTTTTTGTTTTGTTTTGTTTTCTTTTATTCACTGTCTGTAAATATTTAATGTACATAAATGAAGGGCATTAAATATTCAAGTATTCTTCTGAATACTGTGTTTTGTGTGTGTCTAAGTGAGTTTGTTGGTGTTACTAAACACTAATAATTCATAATTGTTATATATTATAAACGAAAGCAACAATTTAATACTAATGTTACTTAGAAATGAATAAAATAATTCAACAAGGTAAACACAACCCATAAACACCTTATACACATTCGTTTCTCAAGACCGTAATGCAGGCATCTTTTCGAAAAATTTGGGTGGCCCTGAAAAGGGCCGTTTTGTTTTGATGAACTACAAAGTTGCAGTTTACTTGCTGCTGGTGTATTTGGTGACAGCCTTGGTTCCCTCAGAGACGGCGTGTTTGGCCAATTCACCGGGCAGGAGGAGACGGACAGCGGTCTGGATCTCTCTGCTGGTGATGGTTGATCGCTTGTTGTAGTGAGCGAGTCGGGAGGCCTCGGCAGCGATTCTCTCAAAGATGTCATTGACAAAAGAGTTCATGATGCTCATGGCCTTGCTGGAAACACCAGTGTCTGGGTGGACCTGTTTCAACACCTTGTAGATGTAGATGGCGTAGGATTCCCTCCTCTTCCTGCGCTTTTTCTTGTCCCCAGTTCTCTGGGCCTTGGCCTTGGTGGCTGCTTTCTTAGCTCCTTTAGATCCGACTTTGGGTGGCATGTTGACAGAATGTGTACAAACTGAAAACTATGAGTGTCGATTCGCGCTTCGCTGCTTATATATCGCACGGACGGATAACGGCGGACAAGTACAGTACGAACCCTCGAGAAAACTAGTGTTGTTCGGCGCGCGACAAAGTGTGTAAGATACGGTCGTGCCGATTGGCTACACATTTCAATCCGCCTGCGTGTTTAAATAGGGTCTCGAAGGCAGTTTATGTTATTCGTTGATTTCCTATCTTGAGCGTCAACTACTCGTAACTATTCAAAGATGTCAGGACGTGGTAAAGGAGGCAAAGTGAAGGGAAAGGCCAAGAGCCGATCATCCCGTGCCGGACTTCAGTTCCCCGTGGGTCGTATCCACCGTCTGCTGAGGAAAGGCAACTACGCCGAGAGAGTGGGAGCCGGTGCCCCCGTGTACCTGGCCGCCGTTCTTGAATACTTGGCCGCCGAAGTCTTGGAGTTGGCAGGCAACGCCGCCCGCGACAACAAGAAGACCAGAATCATCCCCCGTCATCTGCAGCTGGCCATCCGCAACGACGAGGAGTTGAACAAACTGCTGTCCGGCGTGACCATCGCCCAGGGTGGTGTCCTGCCCAACATCCAGGCCGTGCTCCTCCCCAAGAAGACCCAGAAGTCCGCCAGCAAGTAAAAAGTCTGTCTAGGACTTTGAAAATAAACCAAACGGCCGTTTTCACGGCCACCCAAATTTTTCGAAAAGATGCCTCTATCAGAGCATAATTTAAGAAACGAAATGTGTATACTATATTCAAAGAATGCTGCAGCACTATAAGTATAAACGACATGTCATGTGTTTTTTTCCCAATCAAGAAAATTGACAGTCAGATCTGTGCCAATATTAAGTAAGGCAAAGGGTCACTTTTTGTCCAATTTTGTATTTCATTACTTAAACCAGAAGATGTGTACATGTAGTTATTTTCTTTTACTTAAAAAGCTCATTTAATTTTAAGTAAAAGATAGTTCATCACTTAAAACATCAGCTCTAAAATTCAAGATCAGTGTTTATAGTGAGTATGTTACTTAAATTCTCGTTTCTCACTTCAATATATTAATATATATTTTTAACATATCGATGCCGATCAGATTATCAAGAAAGACTCTTTGTGGTAAAATCTGTCAAGAATTATTGTTACACCACTGATTTTACAAAATGTTGTTGCTGTTGTTTTTGTATAATGAAATATATGGAGAGAAAAAAAATAACAAATTATATTCACTTTTGGCACACATCTGTGCATGGTCATATCAAAGTGAGTCTTAATTGCAGTTGTATGCTACTGATTACATTGCAAATTCCAATTTTTATATTAAAATTTGGGAAATAGTCTTGTCTCAACATCCTGAAAGCAAAATGATAAACAAATCCCTGAGAATAAACTGTAAAATTGTCAAGGCAAACATTTCTAACTTCAAATGACTATGATTTCTCTAGTAAATAAGAGTCTTAATTTTTTAATTTTATGGTGCTTAAGTCATTTTAAAAATGGGCTACAAATACATGTAACGCTACAATAATATTTTACAAAATTTCCATTTATTTTCTAGAATTTTGTTTGCAGTTTCTTCTGCATATTAATTTCACAACTATTTAATATGATGTAATTCTGTGATCATTTTAACACCTGCTCAAAACAGAGATACATGTGTTGAGTATATTCTGTTGAGACATTTCAGCATTTTTCTTTTTTCTTGGCGTGTCATCTAAGTGTAGGTGAGTGATCTATTAGAGTGACATGTGTTAAAAGTGAGAAACATTCAATGTCAATTTTTAGGAAGTTGAAACACCAGGGCCACGTTGAAAAACAAACTTATTAAAATGTATAATATATGTACATAAAGTATAGAAGGGAGTACAGGACAAGAAATTTGGGGGGAAATCGAATCGTGCTTGAATTTATCTCACAATATTAATATTTACAGTTGAAATAAATGGCGTACAGATAAATGAAATCAGGATTCACTTAAATGGTTATTAACTGTGTATACATTATAGTTGTTACGTACAATGTCATACATGAGGTTTATAACAGTAATAATGATAAGCTATAAACTATGCGGAAAGTATTTTATAGATGACTCTGTTTTTGGCTAATTTAAGGACGACACAACAAATATACTACAGTTCAGTGCCGTACATAAAAAGAGGAAAACTTGTTGGCCAAAATATTTAAAATTGCAAATGAAGTGTTTATAAGTATTATGAGGGTGTTGATTTTTCAAACGAAAACCAGAAATATATTTTGCTATCTTGTATTGGTCCCTGTAACACTTAACAATTCAAATTTCTAAAATGACTTAGAGTTTTTAAGAATGTTAATACTTTTGTTCTAAATTTCAAAAACTCAAAATGTTTTAGTATATTGAAATTTCATATTTTAGTTCAAAAATCTAAATACCTTAAATGTTCCAAATTCAAATTTCAAAAAACAAATTTTGTAATTCAAAATTGTCTTTTGGTTATTTGAAATTAGCTTCAAACTTCTAAAATCCAACTTTGAAACGCTTTAGATTTTGAGAAATTTAGAATGTTGATTCAAATGTTCTGATTTCAAATAACCTAAACACTTTGAGTTTTTAGAATGTTACTTTAGATATCCAAAGTTTAAACCAGGTACAATGTATATGGAATTTGATATTTTGGAGATTTAAAGTAAACTTCTAAAAACTCAAAATGTACAAAAGTGTTTTGATTATTTATAAAAAGTTCCATTAATATTTCTAAACAAACGGTAGATTAAAAACTCAAAAGTTTAAAATACAAAATTTGCTTTTGGAAATCTGAATTTTGAATATTTAAGATAAAAATACAAAAACTCAAAATGTTAAAACCTGTTTTGAAATTTGAAAGTTTAGGTTTTTGAACTAAAAATTATAATATACGAAATCAGTCTGAGTTTTTGAAATTAAGAAATTTGAACTATTATATTAACATTTTTAAACTCTAAATAATTTTAGAGATTTGAATTGTTAAGTGTTACATTGTACATTGTCAAAGAAATCTTAAGAAGTATACACATAGTTTGTTTGTTTTTGTGTTTTTTTTTGTTTGTTTTTTTTTTTTGTTTTGTTTTGTTTTTTTTTTTTTTATTTTTTATTCATTTATTATTATTATTATTTTTATAAATAATGCTTTAATGCTTATTTATACTTATTTGCCTTCATGCATTAACAATGTTATTTCATCTCTCTCTCTCTCTCTCTCTCTCTCTCTCTCTCTCTCTCTCTCTTCTCCTTAATGGCGTTTGCATATTTTTACCTGTCAGATTTATATTCAATCATGTATTTATATTAGATTGTACATTTTAGAGAACAAAGTCATTGTCATAGTCACACAGCGCCACACACAGGCATAACACTGTGTAGTACAGTACATAGTCACACTGGGTGTTTTCTTTGAGGGGGTCCAGGCCGGGTAAATCAAATCATCATTCTTAAATGTGTATTTTACTTTAGTATCACAGTTCTGTCCTTTCGAGTGAACAATTTTACACTCGTAAGTAGCCATTCAATCATGACCAGCAAAGTCCCCAATTTGAACACTGCAATAAGAACAATCTAAAAATGCAAATAGATAGAATGATAGACAGACTAATAGAGCAAGATTCATTGATATCGATGATGTTGCCTTCTTCTAAGCTGCAAGAACGGGTGCAAATACCCACATTGAAACACACATGCAGGCCAACTAAAAATACAACGATGTCTCGACACACTGGATGTTTTCTATGGCCCGAAGAATGGTGTAAACAAAAACAGCAAGTGCAAAGGTGCACAGGCGCTATTTCACTTTCAAACTTGGAAGTTACAAACCCAACACTCGCAAGTAGAATGGCCTAAAGCCAAAAAAGTCCCCAGCCAAAAGAAGGCCGCAAAGCCTAAGGTGCCTGCTGCCCACCCCAAGTACATTGACATGAGAAGCGCTGCCGTTGCATCTCTGAAAGAAGGCAGCAGCTGCCAAGAAACCATCCCGACAGGCCATTCTCAAGTACAAAGGCATGGCCAACTACAAAGAAGGCAGCAGCCAAGTTAAGAATCAACGCCCACCTGAAGATGGCCCTGAAGAACGGTGTCAAAAAGGGTGCCTGAAGCAAGCAAAAGGCACAGGCGCTAGTGGCTCTTTCAAACTTGGAGACAAACCCAAAAAAAAAGCCTAAAGCCCTTTTCAGTTGCTAAACCCAAGGCAGCCAAGCCCAAGAAGATGCCGCCAAGCCCATCCAGCCGGAGAGAAAAGGTGTGAAATTCTCTTATGTCTAAGGCAGTATAGAAACCAGTGTTAAAATTTCTAAATCATCTTACAAATGCCCCATTGTACATACCAAAACTCAGCCAAGCACTGAAAACCCAGGGTGAACTGGCATGATAGCCAAATCAATATAATCACACATTAATGTTTGAAATTAGCCTGCAGGCATATTACTATATTCTCCTTGAATATCCTGAAACACTTAAAAAAAAGTAAAATTTATGAACATTTTATTTTCAGGTTAAAAAAAAATATCAGATATATATATATGTGTGTGATCATTCTCAACTATTTTAAATCATGCAATATATAGTCTGAATAGGTTTATGCCCATAACATCTCACATGCCTCACACTCGGCATAAAACTCCATAGCACTGCAAACTTTGTTGCATTAATTATGAGATGAATGCATATTAATAAATGTCCCGTAGCTTTTACATGGTTAAAAGATGCCTGAGAGCTAAACACCCTCATTTAATTACAGGTTTATTTACATATTTTATTTTCAGATGACACAAAATCAATATATATTATTATATATATATAATCAGGGTCTAGGTCTTGGACCTTAAGTTTGACAATACTTTAAATGTTCCTATTAAAGTCTCTTAAGCTTAAGAGGATAACTAATACAGAGAACACACAAAGCAGAAGTGAAAACAAATATCAAGTTCACACTGGGCATGAATGGGTGCATACTTTGTTGCAAACCTTTGATCTGAGTTTTTTCATTTATTCAATATTTATGTATTTACATGGCTATGCACATGAACAGGGATGGTAAAACTTCACTGTTTCCTGCATGTTTATTGAAATCCAATGTTCAAGAAATACACACTAAAAATATTTTACATGTCATGTTAATTACAATTAATAACAATTAAAACTAATAATTGAATTCAATATTTTTAAATGAATGCTTTTATGTCTAAAGTCATCACGGTAAAGAGGATTGTCCTAATTATTGTGACTGTAAATTTTTTTAGCCAGTGGGTCTCTTAAAATTATTTTCAATAACAGCAAAACATTGATTTTTCCAATATTTATGTATTCTGTGCAAAAAGGTGGATGAAATGATTTCAGCTAATGAAAATCAAGCGCGCTATAAGCGGCTAATCATATGTGTATCATAATTAATAACAATTAAAAATAATAATACAATTAATATTTAAGTGAGTCTATGAATGTCTGTCATCACGGTTATTGCGCGCTGATTTCGAAGCTTTTTTAACGAAATCAAAATATATTCACGAGCCACGGAACCGTATAAAACTATACTACACTCGGCATTCGTCATTCATTTTATCTGAATTCAGAGAAGATGGCACGTACCAAGCAGACTGCAAGAAAATCTACAGGAGGCAAGGCCCCACGAAAACAGCTGGCTACCAAGGCAGCCCGTAAGAGCGCACCAGCCACCGGTGGCGTTAAGAAACCTCACAGATACAGGCCAGGAACTGTTGCTCTCCGTGAGATCAGGAGATACCAGAAGAGCACCGAATTGCTCATCAGGAAACTCCCATTCCAGCGCCTTGTGCGTGAAATCGCTCAGGATTTCAAGACCGATCTGCGTTTCCAGAGCTCAGCCGTCATGGCCCTCCAGGAAGCCAGCGAGGCCTACCTCGTCGGACTTTTTGAGGATACTAACTTGTGTGCTATCCATGCCAAGAGAGTGACCATCATGCCAAAGGATATCCAGCTTGCCAGACGTATCCGTGGCGAGAGAGCCTAAGCTTATCCTTGTCTCAGACAAACACAAACGGCCGTTTTCACGGCCACCAAAATCTTTAGAAAAGATGCCTTCATGCAATCCTAAGAAACGTAACAATATATAAAACACGGGGTAAATCTACTACAGGTTTCACCTATTAACCTCTGAATAAGGTCTGGGGATTACTGGGGAAATATTGAATGAAAATTATTTATTGTATTTAGGAAAGTACACAGGAATAACATTACGACAGTTTTGCAGTCGTATTATTGTTAATGAACAAGCGAGTGTCTCGCACAAACACGAAAAAACAAACAAACAAAAAACACCCTTACACACATTCATTCAACGGTGTAGAAATAACACAAAGGCATCTGATAACATTGATTCATCAAAAGAAGGGAATATGAAGGAAAAAAAACCGTCTCTTGTGTATTTCACGTACAAATGACAATTGTATTTATTAGTCAATTATGTAGAAATATGAATACATCTTGCTTATTCGGATAGACAGAAAGAGTACAAACAATAAAACATTGAATAATATGACAAAGTTAGTTTATTGAACTCCATTCACGAATGATTGTGATTTAATCCTAGATACATTGATTATACTTTTTTTTTCCTACCTCGATCATTACAACAATAAAAATATGGTGAGAGAGAGAGAGAGAGAAACAAATAAACATAAAATTTGTGCATTCCCTGACAACCTATAATATTAAAAGTTCACTTCATTCCTTTTCTTCCGTTTTTTTTTTGTTTTTGTTTTGTTTTTTGTTTTTTAATGATACACTTGTTAAATTTTTATATCGTGGTTTCAAATTAAATTCTGATTATTGGTTATAATGTAATACTCTGATAAAAGAAAGAAAGAAAGAAAGAAACCAACCAACAAAGAAAAAGTAATAATTATCCTATGAATATAAATATTAAATCGAAATATAAAATAACTGGTATATTCTAAATATTGAACAATAGTTATGGAAAGGCTGAAATTATGATGGCTTAAAAATACGTGACACGGTTTAGTAGCAGCTCAAGGGTATACAAACGTAAACAAAAACATATGTAAGGCGCGCAGAGCGTAAACCAATCGCGCTGTGGCTTTCAAGTGTGCTTTCGGGACTTGCCGAGTTTTCAAGACATTGTAGTTTCTAGCGCGTCGTGTAGTGACTGCTATATATACCGTGATTCTCGTCGTGACAGAGCATTTCAGAAGATTATCTACTGAGAGCTGAACTATGTCTGGACGTGGTAAAGGAGGAAAAGGTCTTGGAAAGGGGGGCGCTAAGCGTCACAGGAAGGTCCTGAGAGATAACATCCAGGGTATTACCAAACCCGCCATCCGTCGTCTTGCACGCAGAGGTGGAGTCAAACGTATCTCTGGACTCATCTACGAAGAAACCCGTGGTGTCCTGAAAGTTTTCCTTGAGAATGTCATTCGTGATGCTGTCACCTACACAGAGCACGCCAAGAGGAAGACTGTCACAGCCATGGACGTTGTCTATGCCCTGAAGAGACAAGGACGTACCCTCTACGGATTCGGTGGTTAGATACCCCTATGAACATTTGCTTTTGAAGAAGCAACAACAAACGGCCGTTTTCACGGCCACCCAAATTCTTAGAAAAGATGCCTCTAAACAGACGTGTAAAAAAGAAACGTGTGTGTTAATAGCTGGGCAGTTAGTTCTATGTAAAATTATTAATTGTCAAGAAATATACCGTATGTTACTGGAATTAGGCGTAACATAGTTGGGTTACTATTCCTGCAGTAACTTGTTCACAGGAAAACAAAACAGTAGTTATTGTTTTATGTTCTTATAATCCGATTATAATTTATTTAACATTTTATGCCAATGTCTCATTTCTGATCTTCAAAGAGGGGCCCAGGTTGAGAGAGACCCCCCCCCCCTCATTGTTAAAATCCAATTGATAATCTCCAAAGACACATCGAGTACACACGGCAAATTAAACGACATGTAGGGGTTAGCTATCGTTACAGCTTTGTAATACTTGTTGATCAACGAAACTTTATAAAAATAAAATAAAAACAAAAAAAAATTCAAGAGCCCAAGTAGTGTGCATACAACTCTTCTGGTCAATTCCACTCTGACAAGGAAGCAAGAGTTATCCTTCTTGTCATAGGCTCCATATTCCTTGAAGTGATTAGATGCTGATTTTCCCTTAAAGGTACTTGGACACAGATTTGAAGTTAATTTTTTCTGTATAATATCACGAATTATATATTTTAATACCATTTCACACAAAAATTAAAAAAATTTTATATTAAAAAGATATTAAAACTTTAAATTTTTTGGCCGGTTTGATTGACACATCCTTGCACTTTCACAATTTTTAACTTTATTCTTTATCCTTAGGAAAAATGGCAATCTTTATTATATATTAAAACAAATCCAGAAAAATAATTTTATTCAGAGTAGAAATGTTAGAAAGCAAAACTCCTTCACAAGTATCGTCATTCCGTTGTGTACAGAGTTTAGCAAATCGAACACACTCGTGTTATGTACACAGTTTTTGTAAACAAGGCAAGAGCGTCTACGTTCGGTGGTTAAACCCCTATGAGCATTTGCTTTTGAAGTTATTGTTTGGTGTTTACGATTCACCGGGTGCGTTTAATTGCCAAAGTCTGCTCAACAACTGCACGGACTGACAATACATTGTGTGTTTGTTTTGCTTTCGAACATGTCTACTCTTAATTTTCTGGATTATAGTATTAATATTTTTCATTAATACACAAGAAATTGTCATTTTTCCTAAGGATTAAGAATAAAGTTAAAATTTGTGAAAGTGCAAGGACACATAAAAAAAAAATAAAAATTTTAATAACTTATAAATGAAATAAGATTTTTAATTAATTTTTGTGTGAAATGCTATTAAAATATATAAGTCGTAATATTATAGATGAAAAAATTACCTTCAAATCTGTGTCCAAGTACCTTTAACATTTAACCCTTTTAACAATATAAAAATTATATTAATTCACAGTTGCCTGTTTTTCTTTTTGATTTTTCTTCACTTTATTATATTTGCATCCAAATCCAACACATGGTACAACAACAATGACATGGGTTTTTTTTGTTTTCAAAAGAAACAAAAACATATATATTTTTGAAAACCAGCATGGTTTAATAATGTGATGAATCTTGATCCTCATCCATGTGAGAAACATGCATACACATAAAAAAACAAAATGTTAAGCGAGATGACATTTTTATAGGCTAACGTGTGAAACACTAGTTCCTAGGATTCATATATCTATTTATTTCATAACATAATATATACATATCCCATATCATCCTTGCACATTTTCCAGTAGAAATAATGAATGCTATCATAATGAATTTCTAACATGCAATGCATTTCTTTTCTCTTTCTCAAACTTTCCCCTCAGTGAAAAACAATTTATCAATAAATGAAGACCTTTTCTCATGCTCTCAGCTTTCATGTCCTGTGAAGATAACCTGTAATGGGTAACGTTGTTTTTATTTTGTTTTTGTATTGTTGAAGGGGTTACTCTTCGCCAGTACACACGATAAGACATGTATTAAGACAGGTAAGTATAAAACTCGTTTTATTTTACAAAAATCTTATGTAATACACTTTACAGCTGACTAATAACATTTTTTTTTTTTTTTTTTTTTTTTTTTAAAAAAAATGTTTTTAATTATTATTTTCCTCATGATATGATTCTGTATAATATATAAGAGTGTCATATTAAAGTGTATATTACATATTCAAGCATTGTCATACACAATGTATGTCAAAAACTCCTTTCTCTTTTCTACACGACTCAGACAACTGCAAAATATTTGTATAAATTATGATATCATGGTACTTAGAGAACTAAAACAAAAAGAGTCAATGAATTATCTCAGAACACCAGTGAAAACTGCTTTCAGAGTAACAGCCTGTGAACTTATCTATTTTCATTGATAGTTGGTTGATTCACCATTCTTGTTACAGTGCTACAGAATATTACTATGCTGCCTAAGTATCATCATTTAATAAATACTTTAATCCAGATCCCAGACTTACTGTGTGTACTGGCCCTAGGACAGATTTGTTTTTTGTATGTGATAATCATGTTATTGAATTGTTCTGTGGGGCCCTTGACTTTTTTTTTTTGTTTTCATTTATTCATCGTCTGTAAATATTTAATGTACATAAATGAAGGGCATTAAATATTCAAGTATTCTTCTGAAAATGTGTGTGTGTGTGTGTGTGTCTAAGTGAGTTTTTAGGTTTTAGAAAACATTAATAATTCATAATTGTTATTGTAAACAAAGGCAATAATTTAAATCTAATGCTACTTAGAAATAAATAAATTGAACAAGGTAAATACAACCCATAAACACCTTATATATACATTCTTTTCTCAACACCGTAATGCAGGTACTATACATGACTCGGATAACATGTTTTGACTTACATGGAAGTGGTCCACGTAAATCTGTAGATGAAATTAAAACTTTTGAACTTTTTTAAAGGTTCCTGAAAATAAATAGATATACCTAAAACAATAGAGATAACTTTTTGTTATACGATATTCTGTTGCTGTGAAAATTAATTTAGAACAATTTTAGTTCATAATTTTTTGCTTGTTAACACTGAAATATTAACGAGGAAGGAACAACAACAAAAATAAGCTAGGTTAAACATTTTTTTTTTTATCTTATTTCATTTAATCTATGAGCATCATTTTATTTATAGTTCTGAAAATAATTTCGCCTCTGTCATTTGTTCATTATTTTGCCAGATTTGAGAAACTTTTAAGAATTATTTTTCTTCTCTATTGGAAGAGATGTTTTAGGATTCATTTTTTAGCATTAAAGCATTTCGGTACAAAACATTATGTAAGATGCACCGATGTTTCAATGTTTACGTGATTGATGTAAATGTTGAGAATGCTGGAGCGGATCTCATACAGAAAAACGATTTCCTTTCCAAGATTTTGATAAAATCCTCGTGTCTTACACCTAACTTTCACGTTGTCTCGTATTAGTATATCAAAATTACATTTATTCATCCGTATTCGATATTTTGAAAAAACACTAAAATGTCTATGCTTCGATTAACATTACGTGTAGGAAATAAATCA